GACAGGGTTTGGGGTGGGGAGGGACTTCAGCAGGGTATAATGCTATAGAATCCACTGCCCAAAGCAGCCATTGTCTCCAGGAGAACTGATCTGGGTCATCTGGACATCAGTTTTAATAGCTGAAGCCCTGACTGCTACGTCACATTGGCTGTCATACAGGGGCCATCTCAGCAGGATGTAAGGACACAGAGTCCACCATTTTCTCCAGGGGAACTGATCTCTGCCATCTGGAAAGCAGTTGTAATCCTGAGTGATTTTTAGCCCTCACCTGGAGATTTGCAACCATGGTTTCCCGCAACAGACACTAAGGGGAAATTTATTTTACCTCAGAACATCAACAGCAAACTGTTTAGAATGTTAGAGGGAAAGGCCAGTGAGGCCGCATATGCAAACGACCTCTGTGTTCTGACTGGCTGTGGGGGGGAGAAGAAAAGCAAACTGTTTAGAATGTTGGAGGCAGGACTCAGGCAAAGCAGCCAGTGGATAGGGAGACCCTCTGAATGACAGATCAGAGAGCGAACTGATTTTGGAGCATGTTGAAATGTCCAGGGGAGCCCATGACCAAAATAGAATTATATATACTGGAGGATGCCCCTTTTCCAATTGTATTTTACACATTCTGTGAACCAACAAAATAGTGGAAGATTTCAGTGTCTTTAAGGTGCCACTGGACTTTTGTTTTATCTTGTCAGGTAGGCCATTCTCTAGTTTGAAGTCACAACAGAGAATACTCAGTGATGGGCCGCTGTTGGGTGCAAGGTGGCCTCTTCAGAAGGCTTTGCTTAGGTGTGTGAAGTTGTCTCAACAGAGAGGGTTGGCTCCTGACTAAACTGGCAATTTCTGAAAATTCCCCTTTCCTGCAACAGACCCCCCCTCTCATGACATTCCTCTGGGTCCCCATCCCCAGGAGCAGCATTTTGTAGGAACTGGGGGTGGGGGAGAACAGGAAAATTCCATTCTGCCATTCCTGCAGATATGTGGGTTCTAAATTATGAAAGCTTTGTAGGTACTAACCAGCCACTTTAATTGAATCTGGAAACTAATCAATAACCAGTAGATGGACTGAAGAATAGGTGCAATATACAAACTCTATAGTAAACAGGATGTAGCATTCTGTACCAGTTGTGGTACAGCTGACCCAACACTGCCCAATGAATTTCATGGCAGAGGTGGGGATTCGGATGCCGGTTGCCCAGATTTTATTCTGACCCTTTTGCCACTACACCACATTGGTTCTCACACTACAGAGTTCTAGATTTGCAACAGAAGTGATTAGAGGAGAAGGAGCACAGAAGTATTGTGCAGTTTTGCTGATTAAATTAAATTAAATTAAATTAAATTAAATCCTACTGCCTTCATAATGATTTAGTAATCAACGATGATGAAGTAGTTTAACACTACTTCAAATCCTTATAATTTAAAAGCTTGGCAACTCACTGTGAAGACTAGATTTAACTGCCTTAAATTCCTCTGAAAAATACAGCATTTGGATTTTAGTTTTACTAAGAAACCACAAGTTGTACTGGCATGCTTTCCCTCAAGTGATGTTTTTGGACATAACTTCAAATCAAATGTATAACCATTGGATGCAAAATAATAATTGTTGACACTACAACTCCCATAATCATCCTGCAGCCTGTGACTAATTTTGAAACTTCTAGCCTGACTTTCTGATGAACTGTGCCTGCCACAGACAACCATCACTTTCATTGCAAATAGCACAGGAGAAAGCTGTGGAGATAATCTGAACCAGGATGTTGTGATTGCCTTCATTTGGCACTGTATCTCTTATGATCATTCTGAAGCTGATGGTCAATTTTGAAGCTCTTAGCTTTATTTTCTCAAGTTATACCTGCCACAAACAGATGGACAAACTGACACACACATTGTTTTATGACAAATAAGCCTACACCAATGTCATTCCAAATAATGAACTTTTGCAACAGTGATTGACCACAGCAGCTATTTATACAATTGTGCTTTAATGCATTCGTATTTTAAATAGTGCTGTATTGTACTATTGCCTTTGTGTGCAAAGAAAGAAATTAAAAATGTCAAATAAAAATGGTAGAAAGGACTCTGTCACAGAAAACCTGATGGTTAAGATGCAGACAAATAATGCAAACTACAATCATAAAGTTGTGGGAAGAGACACAGTCACCAGCTAGGTGATTGTCTTTGCTACAGGGCACCACTGCCCAGAAAGCAAAATGATAGCATCATGCCAGATTACATATGTTAGGACTGTATTGCAGTCCTCTATGGACCCCAAAAAATAAGCTCTTGAAAAAGAACAGAAGCAACTGTGAAACAGGCTAGCATGAAATTATCCAACTCTTAATAAAGTTGGAATAACAACTTGAAAAAAAATCTTTATCTATGTGGAAGTACATATACTTTGTGGTTGTACTTATAGCAGACACATAACAATACCCAAAGCCTTACTATTAACATTGTGCTCACCTTCATATGCTCGAAATCAGTTATCCCAATCTGTGGCAGATTTGAACAGTTTACATGGATGAGCTTGCGCCCAGAGATAAAGTTTTCAGTAAAACATTCCTGTTACATACAAAAAAGGTAAATATTATATAGCAGTTGCTAAGAGAAGTGATAAAGCAAAGATTTTTTTCTCCAACTAGCTTCAGCTAGTGACATGTAAGAAAAATAGTAATAGGCCAAAGAGCTGCCTCTAGAACTCACGTCTTCCCACATGCGTGAGCACTCCCTTATATTGGTACCAATTTGGCATTCCCCCCAAATAGTCCAGACTAGCACAAATAGTCCAGACTACTGTAATCTCATCAGAGCTCATAAACTAAGCAGGGTCAATACTAGAATGGGAGACCACCAAGGAAGATGGGCTGCTATGCAGAGGAAGGCAATAACCTCTGCTTACTTTTTGCTTTGAAAACTCCATGAGGTGGAACTCATGGGGGCACTGTGAATTGGTTGTGATTTGACAGCACACTTTATTTTAGAAATCTTGGATGTTTTGTTCCACTCTGCCAATTGCCATCCTTGGCTAATTTCTGATGCAATCCAATATACTGGTACCAACAATTTCAAAATCTATTCAGCAATGAACAAACAGCTCCTCAAATGATTTCACAATTCCCCCTGTTGCCTTCCCTGTCTAGAACTGTCTCCCAGAATATCCAGGTAATATCACCTTCATATCACCCCTCAAAACTCATGAGAGATGCTGTAGAAACTTTCTGCACAACCCTTTAGTCTTCCCCAAACCCTATGTCTAAGTGCATGCAACTGTAGTGAACAACTATTCTTTCCTTGTTTGTTCTTTCTTCCACTTCCCTCCCTTTCCTCTGTCTTTCATGTCACATCTTAAATTGTAAACTCTTAGAGATAGAGATCTGGCTTTTTGCACTCTGCAAAACACCATGCACACTGATAGAAATAACATCAATAATAATAAACACCCTCAATAACTAAGCCTCTCCAATTCATGGACTCAGCTTATCCAGACCATTTCATCTATGTACAGTTTAACCATCAAGCTTCAAGTAACGTATCAGAATTGTTGTGGCCCATTATGGCTCAGTCCCCGGATCCAAAACCCAGGATTCACGGCAAAAGACTGAGTAATGGCCTCTTAGTAATGATTCTTGGCTGCCTGCCTTCCATCCTACCCATCTCATTCCTACCCCCTTCCAAGGATATTCAGCAGCACTTAAAGTGCCTGATCCACACATGAAAAATTAGCCCTACATAAAGATTGGTTACGAACCAGAGATGTTGAATTTCATTAAAAAGGAGATAAAATTCATTATTGAAGTTAATGACACCTTTGACATGAATTTCCCAACAGCCTGACTCCGGTCTTGCAGACTGAAGGCTGTGGCTTCTGTCTCATGTTGGATCTTCCTCTTTTCCTACTGCCTTCAAGTTTTCCTGCCATTAGTTCATTAGGTGGTTAGAGGTTTGCATAATGTAGCAACAGCAATGTGAAGAGGAAGAGTGGTTTTTATATTCTCCTTTACTCTATCTTTAAGGAGTCTCCAAGCAGCATAAAATCACCTTCCTTTCCTCACAACAGGCACCTTGTGAGGCAGGTGGGGCTGAGAGAGGTCACCCAGCAGGCTTCATGTGAAGGAGTGGGGAACCAAACACGGTTCCCCAGATTAGAGTCATTAAATTGCCTAAGGAAGAGACAGGCCGTGAAATTAACATAATAGCCCAAGAACCAGCCAGGTTTAGTGGTCCCTGCCCCACTGCAAGCCACCATGCAGAAGCTACCCAACTAGGCTGCCTTGCCAGGTGTCCAGTATTGATCCAGACAGTCCAGTATTATCACTGACTGGGAGGAAAAAACAACAAAAATACTGGGTATTTAAATGAAAAGATCGAACTGTCTGGGTCAACTGGCAATGTTACCAAGGCCAAACGGAGTGAAGCAGACTGGGGGGGGGGTGTTTCTCCCAGTGCAAACAGCATGTCCAGTGTTTTTTAAAGCTATTTGGCCATCTTAGCAGCACCAAAAATGGGCGCAGGCTCACCTATTACTCCTCCTACACCAATGTTGGCCCTGCTAGGCAACTGAGCTGAGTGGCTCCTGCAGCTCCAGCAGAGCTACTAGAGTTTGACTGTACTTGGTCCTGGCTAGCACCACCACCAGCCCTCCGGCAAGTTGCCTTTCCTTGTAAGTGAAGTGGCCAGTCCGCCCCAATAGGAGGGTAGAGCAGGAGGCTTTTCCTGGCTCCACTCAAGCCCTGCCTCCCTTCATGCCGAATCCCCACCCCCGACTAGGAAAGGCCCCATTCTGGCTCCAAAGAACGAAGGACACAACGGTGTGTCTCACTTTTTACCTTGTATTGGGGGAAGCCCAACGACTCTATCCAATCAGCCACTTCCGCGGGGGTCCAGGTTAAAAAGGCGGGGCCAGTCGTGGGCGGACACGCGGCCTCGCCTTCGAATTCTTCCTCAGTTTCCTCTTCGGAAAAACCTTTCGATTCAGTCCCGAGGCTCGCTTTGGAGTCCGGCGTCAGCTCCACCAGAGCCTCGGGCATGCGCAATGGGCGCTTTCGGCGGGAGACCCAGGCGCCCCCTTCCTCGTCCTCCACCTCGTCGTCGTCGTCATCGTCGTCTCCGTCGTCGTAGTCATCGTAGACCTCGTCGTCTTCGTCATCCACCACTTCCTCCGGCTTACCGTCCATCTTGACAGGTCTGTGCCCAACCGTCGGAGCATCCCAGCGCGGCGGCGCGATGGCAACGCGTCCTTCCTGGAACCGTTGCCATGGGCACCGAGACTTCCGGGAAGTGTTTGCGTCTTTCCTTTCCCCGACCAGCGGCTTGAAAACCCTGCCGCGGCTACAGCGATCCTCGCTTGTGGTCGGCTTGAGGCGGGAACTGTCATTGAGCAAAGGCCTGAGGCGCTGGTCGGAGAGACGGCGATCACCACTCGGCTCCTTCCGGGTATTTTCGGCTCGCTCTCGGCACGGCTTTCGCTTTTCTCCGGCTCTTTTCGCCCGGATCCGCTTCCCCGCCTTCCCATGTCGGACGTGCTGGCCACAGCCGTTGCCTCCCAGCTCGAATCCCCTATAGGAGGGGGGCCGCCAGGCGGAGACGGTTGCCTTAGCGGGGCTGGCGGAGAAGGCGACCGCCGCCCACCGGCGCCTGCCTCAGGTACTGGAGTGGCTGGGGGGCGGTGGGCTGGGGGGCTGCAGGGTTACTGAAAGGCTGGCAATGGCCGTTCCTGTCAGACCCCTCTCCCTGGGGCAGGGCCACCCCTCAGCTGATAAGTGGCGGCCCCTTACTTTCCTCTCAGCGCCCCCCCCACACACACACTTTCACTGTTCTAGCAGAGCTTTTAACAGCTGGCCGTAAGGCGGGAATTCAACAGGTTCCTCCTCCTCTCCCGGCCCTCTGATTCGGGAGATGGTTCCCCGGTTGAACTTCTGCCTATCGTGTCATTGTTCAAGCTGTGGGAGTGCAGCCAGGAAATACCGAAACGCCACCCTTTGAGTTGATGAGGGAAATCCTTGAGTGAAAGAGGCAGCATTGCGGCGCGGGAAGGGGTGGGGTCGTCATCTTGGGTGGGCGTATTTATTGCGCAAAGGCACTGAGAGAAGCCCGGGCGGGCTAACTGGCAGGATGAGTGCAGAGTTGGTTGGCATCGCGGGTGCTCAGAACAAGAATTTTGGCAGTCCGGTCAAAGCTTATCTGTGGCAGGCAGTATGAAAAAGGTCTTTTGTTCATCATCCCCACCCTTCTTGTACCTTTCAGGAGCTATTCAGGCCTTGTTTCACTGAGCTCAGGTCAGCAAACATGGGCTTCTCTTCATTTTATCTTCACAACAACCCTGGCAGGTAGATTAGGCTGAGAGAGCATCAGTGACCCAAAAGTCACCTACGCAAGGGTGTAGACTTTCCAATGCACCTTCCTGAAAATTTCGGGGGGGGCTGTTAGCCCGCCGCCCCCACGAAGATTACGCCTATGCCTACTAGTAGTCTAGGCATGTGCAAATTTGAACTGGCATCTCAACTCTCTACTCGTTACACTACACTGAAGAGCCAGTGTTGTCTAGTGTTTAAAGTATTGGACTAGAATCTGTGAGGCTAGGTTCAAATCCCCATTCTGCCACGGAAGATTGCTGGGTGACTTTGGGTCAGTCGCTCACTCTCACCCTAACCTGCCTCACTGACTTCTTATGAAGATAAAATGGAAAAACTCAATATAAACTGCTTTGGAGAAAATAGGGGGTAAAAATGAAGTAGTAGAAGAGTTGGATTTATACCCGACCCTTCACTCAGAGTGGCTTCCTTTCCTTTCCCCACAACAGACACCCTGTGAGGTAGGTGGGCTGAGAGAACTCTGAGAGAACAGTGACCAACCCAAGGTCACCCAGCTGGCTTCATGTGGAGGAGTGAGGAATTGAAGCTGGTTCTCCAGATTAGAGTCCTCTGCTCTTAATCACTACAGCAAACTGGCTCTCTTATTTTAATAAATAAAATTGACTCTTTCTCCTTAAGTAACCAGTCTCCTTCTGTTTAATGTAATTGTGTGGCCATTTGTAAGAAATTAATGTATGTTAAAGGCTTTTTGGTATACTTTTTAACAATCCTCTTTAATTTTAAAATCTATGGGGAAGGGGGGAACCTTCCCCTTTTGTGCATTTTGAATTTGCTCCTTTGCCCTCTTCCTTCTTTTCCAGGCAAGATAGCCTACACAGTGCTTAAGCCAGCACTGCAGGTAATTAAAGTTTAACAAATTTAGTAACACTTTGATAGTAGCTTACCCACCTGTAGATGTATTTGCACACCAGAATGAGTCTTCGGTGAGCCTTTTCCTGGAAGTATTCATTACTTGGATAAGTGGCTTTCCTCATCTTTCTTCTGTGCTGATTTGTTCCCCTGCATTCACAGCCATGTAGTACAGGAAAGAGCCATGTGTATGATTGAACTAAAGAAAAACTTGGATGCTGACCATTAGTGATGCTCTGTGGCAAGCGTGTTTTAGGTGAGCAGAACTGGAGCACAAAAAAATCCACACCATGGAAAATGTGTTGTGCCCTCAGAAAGAGCTGTCCATGTTGATGTAAAAGCTGGTGCATGTTTTGTGACCTGCAGCACAATCTCCATCTTTGCTTGCCACAAAACCAGATCAACAGGAGAAAAATAACAGGATGCCACAGAATTTGTTCAATAGACTGTTAACTAAACCTAAGTAATTATTACATTCTTACATATACTGAAAAGTGGAACAGGAGGACTCTTAATGCTGCATACAGTGCCTGCAGTATCCTTTAATGTTGCATTTATCATCCAAGAAATATTTTGTCTGACTTATTTGTCTGTTAACAGCCTTCTTATGCTGTAACATTGCTTGTTTCATAGGCTTGTTTGTCAGTAGATGGCCTCTAATAGCTTCTGTTCCCTTGGGGATTGAATTGTTTAATTTCCCCCCCTAACATACCATCTGCTCTTTAATTAGGCTGTTGCACCTTGTTGTAATCATTGCATCATGCAACAAGCAATAATAACATTACCATAAAGGATTTTTTGCAGTCTTGTTTTTACACACCCGTAATGATGTCTTTTGCGATCTCAAGTGTTCTAATAACAGCCTAAAGGGAAAGCAGTAGGCTCTGCTGAGTAATGGTTAAACTTGAGGGCCTCAGGAATAGGGAGTTCTAGTTTTGCTTCTAGTGTTACACCTGATTTCCCGAGGGCATATACAAAGGACTGTTTTCTTACTGGGTTTTCTCTGAGATCTAACACAGAATCATAGCTAAAAGTCTGAGTAATGAATCAGGACATCTCCAGTTAAAATCTTATATCTGTCATGAACTTATCAGTTAGATTTAGGCAGGCCACAATCTCTCTGTCTCCCTTCTGCAATAGGGAAATATATTTTACGTTATGGTTGTTGTAAATAATATAATATATATGTGAAGTGAACAGTATTAGTGCTATATCAGTGTGATATATTTTATGCTGTGTTATGATTTTTTGTGCTGCTTTACTTGTGAGCTGCTTCAGGCAAATCCCTGGAGAAGTGGCTTATAGTTTAGAATATATAAATATAAATGCCAAGTGTTATTTTGAAGAGTAAGCAGTGCTTCATATGTTTAGCTGTCCCATATCTCTGTAAATCTGAAAAGTGTGTTAAATATTTGCCTTTAAAGGCAGGTATTGTTGCTGGAGTCTCAGTTGTGGAGTTGGATGAGGCAGAAACTGATGAGTTTCCTAAATTACTGGAGAAGATGGAGTTTTGGACTTCTTTCTCCTTAAACGCTTGTAAATCTAATGCATGTTCTTCCTTTGAAAAAAATTTCCCACTGCTGAGAGTTTTAGGACACTTGCTTCTGTTTTGGTTCCATATGATTAAATTCCACAACTATGGGTGAAGTCTCCTTGCCCTCATATCTCCCCCCCCTCTGCTTCTGTTTTCGTAGTCCCCCCCCATGCTCACTGATCCTCAGAACGCTGAAGTTGATGGTTTTGCTATCTGAATGTTGTGCTCATAACCAGGGCCCTTTTTGTAGAAAAAGCCCAGCAGGAACTCATTAGCATAATAGGCCACACCCAATAGCAGGAACTCATTAGTATATTAGGCCACACCCATGACAGCATAGCACATTAGGCCTTACCCCCATGTTACCAGAAGTGTGGTTATCCAGCCACACCCACCTTTTGCTTATTATTCTGTTTACCTTGTTTGTTGTCAAAACCCAGGGCTTTTTTGTAGCAGGAACTCCTTTGCATGTTAGGCCACACACCCCTAATGTAGCCAATCCTAATGAGTTCCTGCTGTTGGGTGTGCCCTATTATGCTAATGAGTTCCTGCTGGGCGTGGCCAACTCAGGAGCCAACCGGAACTCTGTTCCTGCCCAAAAATAGCCCTGCTCATAACCATGTTGTGCATACACCCACTCAAAAAACCCCAAATGTATCCTCTACCAAAGAGAACCCCCCACCTTTTGTGACCCTAATTATGCAAACAGTATTAAAATCATATTGCTGGTCCACTGGAATTTATGTTCAGTATTTTGCTAGTTACTACCCACACATTTTCAGCTTTATCTTCATAGCCGTAAAAGCAATAATTGTGCATTATTTAATTTAAAAGTGTGCTCACAGGATCTTGTGTTTCTGAATAGTGATGTTGTTCAGTCGCTCAGTCGAGTTTAACTCTTCGCGGCCCCGTGGACGACATCACACCAGGCCCTCCTGTCTTCCGCCGTGCTCCGGAGTTTACTTAATTTCATGTTTGTTGCCTCGATAACACTGTCTAACCATCTCATCCTTTGCCGTCCCCGTCTTCTTTGACCTATCTTTCCCAGGATCAGGGTCTTCTCCAGTGAGTGCTCCCTTCTCATTTGGTGGCCAAAGTATTTGAGCTTCAGCTTCAGTATCTGGCCTTCCAGGGAACAGTCAGGGTTGATTTCTTTTAGGATTAGCGATACTAAAATCTATATTTACCTAGTCTTATTTGTAATATCCATTAAGTTGTATAAAAGGTTTTTTCCCAGCTGTTTGTTTTTCAGTCTGAGCAGTGATACAAGATTTTTTAAAAATTTGAAGCCCAGAATAGAAGAGGAATAACGGTGAAAACGATTTGCCAAACATTCCTTGTTTAGGGTAGCTAAACAAGTCTATAAAACTAGGCAAAGGAACAAAATGGTTTCCTAAATAACTTCACAGTACTAGGAGGAGGTCAGGGTGGTGTCCTGAGTAGATACACTGGTGCAACACTCCTGC